AGAAGGAATCCTACTTTGCATTTTATTCTGTATTTCTTCAGAGGCGTAAAGGGTCTGCTCATCATAATAAAAACTGGCAAATATCAACATGCTAAATAACAATGTGGATGTCCTTTGACTTGTGAGAAGAACTACACCTCATTTTTTGACTGGTCTTTGCTATGTGGTAATTGTTAGGGAAACATCTGGTTACTGTCACATAGTTTAGCATCCGATCTCATTGCGTGACATTTTGTTCTGTGACATTTAGTTCCCACTTGGGACTTGGAATTGGAAACCTAAAATTAAGTTCCATTTCCAACATAATAATAGGGAATTGTCCTAGATAATGACGTTTGAGGTTCCCAGTAATGGAATTTCACCACGGCACATTGGAAAAAAAAATTTAAGAAATTGTTATCAGTGATTTTCTTTATGAAGTACAAATACTTAGGTCCCAGAAACTGTTTGGGGGGATTACTCTGGAGCTTTTCTTAGTTTTGAGAATATTATCCTTTGCTTTATGGACTCACGGTAAATTGGAATGAACTCTCTTGCAGTGACTTTTTCCGGAAAGAAAACAATTAGGGATGTTCCTTTTGAAATGGCTGAGTATACTTTTCTAAACTTTAGGTTTTCCAAACAGAACTGTGTCTGTCATAGGTTCTCTTTGCTGGTTCTTTCATAAAATAAAAAGAGAAAGATTTTAGGCAATTGCCATTTTGCCTCTGCCTAATTTTGTCACTTAGCTTAATGCCCGTTGCTTTAGCTCATATCCTGGAACTAAATTGGTGAGCCCATTCTTACTCTCCTATGCTGTTGTCACTCTCCAAGCTATTCCTAAAAATTGCTGTTTCCCTCATCAATTTTTTCCCAGGAAGTACTGTGTGCCCATAGGTCTATCCAGTGGACTTGCTAAACTCACATGCTATTTAAATTAAAACGGAGGCAACCATCATTCAGAAAGGGTAGCTTGTTGGCTACAGTTCTGTCAAATTGTCTCCACCTTAAAAACAAACAAACTGCACGTGCAGGATGTCTTAGATCTCCTGCCAGAGGAAATAGACTCTGTGACAAATATTTGCATGTAGGACATTTGTTGGAAAGTGCTCTTGGGACACCTGTGAGGGGTACAGGAAGCAAGGTTAGGCAAAGGGGGAAAAGTTGGTCTGAGATGAAGTCACAACAAATGTCTCCGCTGATCCCACAGGGGATGACCCCATGGAATTACCCCTGATTGAGCAAGAGGGCAAGGCTTTGATACCTCAGAGTGAGCTGTCATTGGATGTGGGGCATGAGACTTCCCTTCAGCAACTGGGGAATGAATACCTAGGTCCTGAAAAGGTGACCTGGGCAGTGTACCCCCCATTTACTATGTAGGATTCTAAAAGCTGAATTGCTTTCTTGGAAACAAAGATGTAGGCATATTTTTCTTATTTCTTAATATATTTTAAAAAGGATTAAGAATTTAACAGATGGTGGGGGGCTACGCAGTGTAGAATACGCAAGATATTTTGTCCTTTTGTGCCCTCTGTTCCCTGTGGGTTGGCCAGTTACTGCTTTCACTTTTTATGAAAATGATGCTTTGTATTCATGGCTTAAAAAATGTTGAATTATTGCCAAATAGTTGCTATACTAAGACATATGTAACTTTTCTAGAAACCCTCAGGCTCAGAGTGTGTACCCTTCTTCTCAAGGGAATATTTTAAGCATCAGTCCCTCTTGGTTCTTAAACCAAATTTTTCACAATGTCACCTCCATCTCTGAAGTAAGAAAGCTGTGTCTGTGCTTAGGTTCCTTTTACATTATCTCTACCTTCTTTGTGTTGATACTTTAGAAAGCCCGTTTTTCCAGGGGGGAAATTGTGGTTCAGAAACAAAGTACCTCCGTATGAGCTGACCCAGAGCCCAGTAATGCACAGTGTTGAGAAGAAGTATTGTTTTAATATACAATGATGGTGTGGTCAATGATCAGAAAAAGTTGGTTTTTGTTTTTTTTTTGAGAAGAAAAAAAATACATAAATTAAACACGAAATCTGTATAATAAAGTAATCTCGAGTAAATGTGGAGATTTTGAAGATGACCCTGTCATTATTTTGTCACATTAGGACTTTTTAAAAAAACAAATGTTCAAAATTGACCAAAAGGAGGGCAGAAAATTAAAATGCATTGAGCACTTATTGCTTGCTAGTTATTATACAAAACAGTTAATAAATATTATAACATTCAATCCCTTAATACTGTGTCTAGTGTTAGGCATGTTATCCAAGTTTTGTTCATTCATTTTTGTTTTAAATGAGGTAACTTTTCAAAGGTTATACTGATAGATTGTGGTAGAGTCCGGATTAAAAATGACCTCTCTGATTGAAAAATATATGCTATTCCTCCCAAAAATATATTCATAAAGAGAACTGTGTAGTTAAAATGAAACACTTTCATTATCCTTAGAATTACATTTCTGAAAATTTGAAAAATATTGGGCTATAAACGGTGTGGTTTTATGTATGTATGTATGTATGTATGTATGTATATATGTATTTATTTATGGTAGAGTGCCCATATAATGGAGAGAAAAGTGATTTTGGAGTCAGGAGACCTATATTCATTACCTAGCACTGAGCTCTGGGGAAAAAAAATGAACCTTAGTTTTATCATTTATGAAATTAACATATAAAAGAATGATAGCGATCAACATTTTGACTAATTTACTGCATTTGATATGAGACAAATCTTGAACAACTTTTCCGGGGACAGAGCTATGTTGTGTCCCAGAAACAATCTGTGCTACTTTGAATGTTTAGTGTTCCTGTGGTTACATGCCGCATTGATTTAGCATGGGGCTATCCCAGAGCAATTTTATTTCTGTAGCAGAAGTCTATTTGATTGAAGGCCTGCTGGCTCCTTGCTTGCTTAGCTACTAGTTGAACAAAAGACTATGGAAGTCAAGGTGGTAAAGAATGGAGGATCAAATACTGAGCACCAAAGGAATGCTGGATATTATTGGCTTCACCAGTAGATGGCCAGAGGAGAATAAACAAAGTAGGAAATAAGGTTTGGTGAATGTGTCTATATTTACAAGAGATCCTTATAATTCTTTTCTGTGATGGATTTACTACATTTTTGGAGAAGGGGATCCTTATTATCTACCCGTTTTGTGGTTCCACACAGTAGGATCATAGGAACGAATTCAGTCATGTATTTGGATTCAAAAGTTGGTTCTGGAATTCTACTGGGAAAATTGAGACTAAAAGATGGAAGCTAAGATTGTAAATTAGTGTGAGTCCTGGTACCTATCTCTGGTGTAAACTGCCATGATTGGCCGGAGTTTGGACTTTAACCTGTCATAGGTCCTCTGTTTAAATTCTATTTTTATTTTTTCCCCAATAGTAGGAATGAATAATTTAAGTGATTAGAAACCATGAATTTTATTACTATGGAATATTTGTATACGTGAAGAGAAACATGTTTTAAAAACATAGAAAGGTGAGTGCAACAATAATTCCAGGTACCCAATATTAATTGCCTCCAACAATCTCTATTAACATCACTGTGAAGCCTTTTACTCACTTGAAATAGCTCAAATAGATATTGGTCAAAATATAGTCTATCTTTTCCTTGTGAGTTTAATAAGGAAATAGCTTTCACATAGCTATTTAACATCATGAGTTAAAAATGAGAAGAAAGAGAAATTTTTGCTATTGAAATATGCTGATTTGACTATTTCTTAGGAGATCTTGGAAGATGAAGTACAGAACTCTCCTAGGGTAAGATAAGATGGAATGATTGCCAATACTGACTTGAAAATATTATTTAAAAGTACTATTTAGCTTCTTTTTCTTTTTCCTGCATGAGGGTAATCTTGCATTCTAAAATGCACTCTTTATATCCAATATCCAATTATCAGGAAAACAAATAAGATATTGTTTCTATTTTTAATGATATGCAATGTCATTTTTTAATGTTTCTCTTTCATTTTTCTCTTGGGAAAGCTCCCCAAAACATATTTTCTTACATCATTTTTACAGATATTGCCTTAAATACCATTGATGTCTGAACATATTGATCATGTCACTGGAAAACATGACTATTGAAAAATCTGCTGTTTAAATACCAAATGTTAAAATATTTTTAATGTTAAAAAAATATATATATATTTAATGTTGAATTGATAAGTGACCCCTAATCTGAATGCTTCCTGTAACCATAAAAAACAGTCTTTTTTTAAATTTATAGTACTTCATGAAACACTGATTTTAATTTACTCTCCTTGAAAGACCTCTCTGAGATTTTTTAAATTTTTATTTGCATTGTCAGCAGCTCACATTGACCACAGAAATGATAACTAAATAATTTAGAAAGCTGTAAGATTATGAAGGCATTTAAGACGTGTCTAAGGTAATTAAAACCAAACTATAGGAGGATTAAGGCTTTACTGTACTTGGTTATTCTGCAGCTGGGGTCACTGCCTAAGTTGTACGAAGGCATATGTTCAATTTACAGTTGTAATGAGGAACATGGAATGTTTTGATTCTTCATTTGCTGTGCTCATCTCTAGAGGATGCGATGGCCTATATTAAAAAATGAACATAGACTCTTTTGTGGAGAATAATAAAAATACATAAGCTAATACATGCCACATGAATATGTGGTTGGCATATGGCTTTTCTCTTTGAGTATGGGATTGTCCTTAGCTGCTATCATGGGGCAGCCACATGGAAATGTTCATTATCAACCAATCAGGAATGAGATCAGTTCCTTTGATTGTATTAGGCGGATCATGGTTATTCCATGTTAACTAATATATGGTGTTTGTAAAGGTGTTTCAGCAGATTATTCACTTGTAAGTGCATTTTGTGCTGTATTTTCTAAGCAGCAAAAGAAAAGAGAAGTACAAGTCAAAGTTTTCTTTTGTCTAATATTGAATGTACACAAGACGTAGTAAAAGGTATAAAGCAGGTTTTTTCTTTTTTTTTATTTTACAATTTAAAAAAAAACAAATGGCATTTGAATTTCAGAATTTATTCTACATGTTGATATACTTGAAAATACTAGTACAGACTCCTGGGATAAACTTAAAAAAATACTCATAATGTTATGTTGTTATATAGATTGATATTTAGTAGGAGGAACACCTTTTTATTCAGTGAAAACTTGCATTCATCTCAGTTATCATTCTATAAAGTTTGCAGAATTACAGTGAGCCCGGCCATTCAGGGTCCTACTCTTGGCCTTAAAACAAAGAAAAACAAATACAATCTTTCCCTTTTAAAAAATTGCATGAAAGAAAAATCTTCTGACCTCTCTGATTTGAATAAATAGGTGAAGGCTAATTTGAATTAGTGAAAAATGCAAGGTTAAAAGGTGTATGTGTAAGTCAGTAGTCTCATTTAAATAGATATAGCTAAGACCTGTTTTGTTTTTGCACTGCCCAGCACTGAACTTTGTTTGGTGAACTGTCTTTCCTTAGTTCCGATTATGTAGGCTGCTAGAATTCATACCTTGTCATTCTAGTCATGTGACTGAAGCTTGGTCAATCACAGTGCCCATATCCCTTGTCATACCCATAGCTCTTAAAGGTAATGTTTTTCACACTTGGCCAGTGGGAGTCATACCTAGGATGTTTCCATTTTAGGATCTTGAGAAATAGGTTTTGGGTTTTGGAGTTGGAAAGAAGTAAATTGAACATAAGCAGCAGCCAAGCAAGTAAAGCCAATCAGAGATAAGAGGAAATGAGTGCTCGAGAGGAAACAAATCTTAGTTGCTTCATGTTCCAGTTCTGGTGGAACTCAAGAGTTGTCCTTTTTTCCCCAGTATCCTTCCAAAACAGTCCTCTTTTTTTTCTTACTGTTTAGTTTAAGCTGCATAAGTCCTAACGAAATAGACAAGAATTCTTAATCAATATGGTATTTGTTTGCATGCAAATGTTACTCCTAATGCACTAGATATCTTCTCTTAAATATTTCATGGCTTGCAATTATTTAAACAAAGCTCCGACTTCGCCGATAAGGAAAAGGTAAATTTTACTTTTGTGAATAATCATAAACCCTGAATGAACGACGTCAACATTATTAAACATGTGCAGCATGGATGTTTGTCTATTTAAATAGTCTCCATAGCCTTGCTTGGGCCCTGGACACAACTTATTATGTATTTTTTCTGTCTCTACTTTTCAAATCACATTCACTGGCCTACCCTATCCCCTTGAAATCACATTTTGTAGCCTCCTGGGTTTCCTCCCAACGCTTCATTGTTTCACAAGCCGTCTTGTTTTCAATTCACCCTTCTTTATCCACTGTGTAAACTAGGTGGACCTGAATACTTAGGGAAAATCGAAAGCATTTGGTTGTTATTAGAGTAAGGATAGCTGACTCACACATGTAAAACATTAAACAAACCTTACAAATGTTTGAGTGATTTTTTTTCCTGTTGTTTTGTTGTTGTTTGGAGCTGTGGGGCATTTAACCACATCCTGCCATGCACACAACACTTGAGCTTCTCTCTTTATTACCAGGTATAGTTTTAGGCTAATAAAATAAACAAGGACACTATTTTTCTTTTCTTTTCCCGAAGTTTTTATTAATTTATTTAAATGTAACATGCTATACACTGTTCAGTCTTTTGGGAGGTAGGAGGAGAGGGATTCTATATCTTTATGAGGAATCTCCTCAGAACCAGCACTCAGACGGGCACACACTTGTGTACCTGGACATTGTGGCAGGGAGTTCAAATTCCCACAGAGGCAGAGCTCCCAAAATTGTGATGACATTTTTTTGAAAATGTACATTCTTTGGGCTGGAACTGCTTTTCCTTCAGCAGCACAATCCAGCTGCAAAGGGGACCCGAAATCTCTTTCAATATCAAGCAAAGATGCCATTTTTAAATGCAGGAGAATCTCATTACTCCTTACCAAACTGTGTCTGTATCTCTGTCGACATGTGTGTTTGTGTGTGTGGAGTGGGGAGAGTTGAGGGAGATGTTTTCTATTTTTGGCTTCTGCAGGCTTTGATACATTTTGCTAGAAGCTGTTTTAGTGTTTTTGAGTACTGTAATGATGACTGTTTACACGTAGTCTCTTTGGTAATCTAAATGGCTATGTGAAATATGAATCTAGTTTGTACCCTATGTGCTGTTACCGTGGTCATCTCATACTATATTTGTCTCATCAAACGTTTAATTTTGGTTGTGGGTGGTCCACGTTCATGTGTCAGGTGCAATTATTACTTTAAAGTCAAAGAACAAAGATAACCTAGTTCCAATAGGAATGCATTACATTACAGCTCTCAGACTTGGTTACCAATTAAATTTTAACTTACAGATTCCAACCACAAAAATTAAACATTTTTAGTATCCCATTTGTCACAAAGCAAGTTGGAAGCCAAGACCCATGAAATGCAACTTTAACCATAAGCCAAAACACTGTCTCAAATTCACTTCTTTTGAAATCCCAACTTTTTTAAGGACTGAGAAAAATATCACCTTTTATGGGAAAGTTTCTTAATAAAGCTAATTCTTAAATAATCTATTAACTGAAAGTGCTGGTTAAGCATTGACACAATTAAGTTATAAGAGAAGATCACAAAACACCAGCCTTAATAGTGGTTAAACTTTAGTAAAAAGACACATTTTGTGAGTCTTTTCCTTGAACCAAAATGCTGTATCCAAACAATAACCAGACCTTTTCAAAACAAGAAATATGAAGATAAAACTGCAGCTTCAGCATACTCTTATAGTTATCTCTTGAAGTATTTAGAACAAAGAGTATTTTTCTACATTTTTAACATCACTATAGACACTGCAAATAAGGCTTATGCATTTATTTAGTGGAATACAAGGTGACGAGGACTGGTACACGTTTACGTCCCGTTCCCTATACCTGCTCTAACAAACTGAATTTCGATATGGTTGCATTACGGAACCTCCCAAAGCTCTTTAAATTTACAGAGAATAAGTTTTATTTGGTTTTGTAAAGACTGGATCATACAGCTTAAACAGGTTTCAGTATATGGTTACACATATACCGGGATATATTTTCTCAGATTAAGCCCTCGGGAGAGTTGTACTTAATACCAAATTCCTTGATAGTTCCTTTGGGGGAGATGCACTATGTGGGACTCATAAAGGGTTCTTCCATATGCAGGCAGCCTCTTCATCACTTATCGCGGTGGCATACGGCAGAAAATTGTTAGTAAATAATGAGGCTAGGCTACTAAAATGCATTTAACAATTAATTTCCCTTCTTTTAGTATATTCTTGGAGACCCATTGATGTATTGGGAGAGAACAATTTAGCCTTCTGGTCTATTTCTTAGGAAAGGAAGCCTTAGCAGTGATACATGCTTTTAAATGATGGCAGACATCTCTCACTCAAGCCATGCCACGCACTGTCGTATTTACTGTTGATGGTTCTTAGTGCAGGAGTGCAAATTAAAGTCCACTGATAGTACATGGGCACCCACACTGCTTCCCCCATCTCATCTCCTGTTATTGATGTGTTTGCCAAGTTTTAAAAACACTTTGTCACGAACATGCATGTGGTGTGCTGAAGAAAAAGGAAAGGTAAATCAGAGGGCAGCTGCTGAGGATACTCTTTAAAACCCCAAAAGATATTTAACATCCTATTAAATAAATAACTTAGAAATAGAAAGGGATGAAGGCAGAATGCACAAGCATATCATACTATTTGTTTTGTTAGAACAGTTTTACACTAACATGTTTACATTTTTCAATCCTATCCAATGCTTCCATGATGCCACGCCCAAAGCTCCTTTGGTTGTGCATATAATATGACCCAAGTGCTTTTCAGTAAATGCTTGCGTGTCTTACTGCTCATTGAATCATTAGGCTTGAATGAGCAATGAAAGTCTTTGATATGAGTTCGTATTCCATAAATAACTTTTCTGAAGATCATTCAACAGATTGTTTCATGTCCTTTAAGTCCTATTTCAGAAGTTAAAAAAGCAAAAACATAAACAAAACCTTAACCAAAAAACCCAGCGACAATGTTGTTCACTTAGGAATAACTTCCATCCCATTTGATTTGCCTGTATCTCGATTATAAGGCATAACACCGAACTAATTAAAAGAACATCATATGTCAGCAGTGAGAACAGAAACCTTCAAAGACTTCCTTTCTTTCAAGCAAGCAGACATCTGCAATGCGTCTTTGCCTTTTGAGCTACTGTCTTCATGAAGAGTACCCACTATTCCTGGCAAGAGAGCCTTTGGTTCTACTGCACCCACAAACACTGCCTTCCTCTATGAGTGTACCACCATTGGAAGAAAGTGAGCTGAGGTGTTTTTCCTTCGTGTTTTCTGTCCTCTCCTGGGGGCTCCTTTTCCATTCAGTGCCACATACATTTGTCTCCCGTTGTGCTGCCAGTTAAAGGATGCATAGGTGTTGTATCCATTTTCTTCTATCCTCTCCTTCAGCTTACAGTCATTGTTAAATTCTTTCTGCAACAACAACAAAAACCCAAAATCTTTTATTTTTATGATAATCATACTTGATTCCACTTGACAAAAACCATCCACAGAACTCCACTTCAAGAGTTTGTTGGCTGCTGACATTTGTACATTAAGTTGTGCACTTACTACACAGTCTCAACAACAGAAGAGTAAAACTCATAACCACAAAACAGATTCCGTTTGAAGGCATATCGTTCATTTTAATTGATCATCATAACCACATATTGGGGCCCTTTTAAAAAACTGCTGTGCCTTGACTATGACATGGTTTAAGTGCCTAGAATGATTATCAAGAAGCAAATATTCCACTAACGATATTTGTGATGAGTTGATGATAAAGAATAGTGTTATAATCCCTTTTTCAAAGTAATGACTCGGGTGTCTCGTGGGGAAAATCGAGTTATAGGAAAATGGTGAGCCCCACTCTTTAGCTTCTTAACTGCTTTAGTTTGGGTATAAGGGAAGGGAGACATTTTTGAAGCCAGAGTCTATAGATTAGTGAGGTACCTCCTCTTCGTTATTAACTCCAGAGTGAGATCCTGGATTTATGGAATGAATGAGACATCAATCCTTTGTCCTAAAAGATCCCCTTAAAAACACATGGTCACTTGAAACAAAGCCAAAGCGCTATGGCTATAGGGTGGAATTTCCCAAGATCAAAGCCATCAGGCTTATACAATATAGGCAGTTCTAGTCACCGTGTTTATAATTTCTTTGATATGGTAATTCACAAAGCAAGGCAATCCATGTCCTAGTTTTCAATCATCCTGGGTGCCTAATTGATATTTTCAAGAAAGCTTATGAAATCAATGGAAATTACTTGAAAAAAATAAAGATAGGAATGACAAGAGTTGTCACCTGATATACAGAATTATATTAGATGTGTACTCATGAACAAGCTACAATTTTTCACTTTTCTTGATTGCAATGTAAAATCACAGTGCACTATGGTTAGAGAATGGGTTTTTCTCTGAGACAGGCTGGAAGTGGAAAGCATAGGCTGTGATGAGCTGAGCTAATTGAAGAGGTGGTTAGGTTTATGCCTTGCAGAATTCTGGATTGTATGGTTCTAAGTGCTGAGGAAATAGTGCAGGACTAGGAGAACCTGCCCTCCTGAAGTGCACAATCTGCTGGGAGAAGACAGTGAACAAAAAAAATACATTAATAAGAGAAATATATGATAAGTGCCATTGCAGATCATTAAAATGGGGCAATGTGATAGAAGCCAACTGAACATCTACGTTAGATCTAGAGATAGAATGAAATAATTCACAGGCCTTAGACCTCAGGAAGTCTAGGCACCATACATGAACAATGTTGGGACAAAAATAATATGGGGGAATGGGAGGGAAAGTATTAAATATTTTTATGACACAGTTAATTTGAGAGGTATCCACTTCTCTTTGATGTCACCTTTTTAAAGAAGTACACTGTATCAGTTAAAAATTATTCAATCTTTTATTGCAATTAAATTTTTTACATTTTCTTCCTTAATCTAAATTCATATTAGCTGTCTTTACTTTAAAACATTGGTTTTGACTGTGTGTATGCATCAGTAGCCCTTCAAAGAATATATACCCAGTAATTCTGATATAGGAGATTAAGGATGGACATGGGTGTGTTCATTGAAAAGGAAAAGGAAAAGAATGCCTCAAAAGTGATCGTGCTGTGAACTCCTAAATGGAACCACTTTTTAAAATAGTCTTTTACTCTTCTAGGCTCATTAGTTGAGCAATGTATAATGGAAAAATTTAACTAAAATTCCTCTGACCACCCCCACCCAAAATGCATTTACCCTAGTCAGACTTAAAGAACGTCTGACTCTCCAATTATAAATAGACCTGATACGAGTAAAATACAAGTCTATTCTATATGTAGACCAGTGATGGAATCAAGTTCCAATGATTCTCAAATTGTCATTACCACACTAGTAGCATCAGAAACACCTCAGACCCTGTTAAAACAGCCAATTCTTAGCCCCTACCATGGACTTACTGAACCAGAAAATCTGGGAGTGTGTTTTAATAAATCCAGTGATTCTGACACATATTCAAGTTTGAGAGCTGCTGGCACTACAATCACCCTTATATTAATCAACAAAATAAGTTCATTTACACATTTTAAAGTGACATTTCTTAATACTTGCTATGGAACACAGGGATGTAGGTACCCAAAGCACTGGCTGGATACCAGCTCCATAACGAATTAATCACTATTGTCTAGGTAAATAAATCCTGGAGTTGATTGAGTGGCACACAAAATGATGAATTTCTGAATATGTCTCCCCATTTCAGATTTTAGCAGAATACAGAACACCCTGATTTCTCTTCAGCGGTAATACGTGCACAGTATATGGCTTTCTACACAATTCAGGGTCTTTGTTTTCAATAGTTCTTCTCCAAGTCGTCTGCAGTGCCCATGCCAATTTGACCAGATGCTTCCGTGAGATTCTGACTGGTTAGCAATTCAGAACAGTGACTGACGAATGCCAGCAACAGCCTGTGTGGTAGACTAATGGGTGAACAACAGAGGAGATTATAGAGTTGGAGGAGCTGCCTTGCCAGCCCTTGAAACTCTGGTGACCAGCCCACTGTGGCTCTATTTACTAGCAATGGAACGATAACAAAGCTATTCAATGTCTGGGGGAAACATTCCAAAACTGTGGTAGTAATTTATTGCAGTGAATTTTGAAAGTAAAAACAGAATACTTACTGAGCCATAGAGCTTCCCCTTCTTGTTCATGGCTAAATAATAGTTGCTGTTAATGGCTTTGACGGCAACAACTCCGATTTCCACTGAAGTTATTTCCAGGATACCTAAAACATACAATTAAAAAAGGCTACACTTAAAGAGTCACATAAATTTAGTTGAAAAAAAAGAAGAGTCAGGGTCAATTACTGAGTTGATTTTTGATGGTCCTAAAATGAAAACAGTAAAGAAATTGAAAAAAGAAAAGCCCCAACTTCTTTCAATGTGCCTAAAAACCAAGAAATTGTATAGAAATAAGTAGTAAGCCTTTAAAGGAATTCCCCTGCATTTTACTCTGAGCATATAGGGAAAATATTGTTTCAATTAAAATGCTTCCTTTGCTAAGTCTGCATTTTCAACCCCATAAATATTGAAACAACTCTACTCATCTTAGCCTAGATTTCACAAAAACTTATCAGAGCACACATCTGTACTATGGTATTAAATTAAATCTATAGCATATGTCAATAATATGTCAGATTTACCTCAATCTGTAAAAACAGTGGTAAACTATTTCTTTGTAGGACACTTAGATAAACTAAATCTTTTGGCTACAATTTAACTGATAAATTCATTTTTGGCAAATGCGTTGACATTTTGAGATTCAGAGAGACAAATCCCACATCCACATTGTCTTATCAGTTACTCTGGGTTGGGATAAAATCCATCAGCATTTTTTAAAGTTTGTTTTTTTTTCTAGATAGAATAGAAAACTGAGGGAATTAGTAACTGATAGACAAGAGACCTTTTCCCCTAATACACAAGTTTCAGTTGATGCATGTAGAGATAATTTTCTCTGAAAAGTTTATACGTATATAGAGAAAAGGCATTTGATAATGCTATTCAAATTCCCACTTATTTTAGGTTAAGAAGACCTCAGGTACTAACTACTTCTTATATCATCACTCTTGGAGAAGCTTTCTTAGGGTAGAGAAGCAGAGTTGTGGTTATTAAAGGCCTCTGGATCTAGAGTGTCTGGGTTTGAATCTCCACTCTGTATTTATTGGAGAATGACCACAGCAGAAGTTGCTGAATTGCCTATGTCTCAATGTCATTTGTAAAATGGGCAACATAATAATACCTCCCTCATAGTCTTGTTGCGAGGATTAAAATCAGATATACATATAAAATAATTAGAACTTGCCTAGAGCATAGTGACTCTTTAATTATCACTAAAAGGAAGTTTCCTCTGAGTTCTAGATTTTGGAACTTCTTCACCAAGTGGTGTAATCCTGAACAGGATACACCAATTCCCATTGGTGTAGCCCATAAAAATCTGGAAGTTGGTTACATGTTATTATTTAGCATATATTACCTATCATCCTAAGAAGTGCCATCCTAAATGTGGTTGACAAATTGTGTTTGTACTGTTCCCATTGGAAAAATGTGTCTTGATCTCAAGACATGAACACCTCCCTTTCCTTCACAAGTTTCTAAGCCATATGGAGATTGATAGAAATGCTTAAATTTCCCCATAGCAAAGTTGACATAACCCCGAGAGATTTGTGTCAGAACTATGTGCCAAGGACCATTCTATCCATGTATCCTGTAGGAAGCCTCCAACCCAACACAGCACATCCTCTTATTAATAGAATGAGATGGATCTCAAGTGGCAAGCTCAAACCAAGAAAAGATTGTGAAGGGTGAAGGAGACAGTATCTGTAATTTTAACATCTGTTTTCTTTATGCCAGTAGTTGCCCTCAAGGTACGAACACATACGCACACACTTATTTGCATATCGTAAAACGTACTTTCTTGTAGTTTATTTCTTTAATTCTCACAACAGTTCTTTAAGGGGGTATTACTATCCTCAATTGCAGATGAAAAAATGGAGGACACTGACATTTTGTGTAACTCATACAATAAATGATAAAGTGACATAGGTGAGCAATGATGGATTCAACATTTAAGCCTTTGACTTTCAGAATATTTTGCTCTCCATCATTGACTATTTTGCCTCTGCATCATATCGCCTCACTCTTTCCCATTCCTACAAGGGAATCCTGTTAGAAAACCATCTGACGAAATGACTGATCAAGATAATGGTCTTTAACAGGCATGGTGCCATAGAGGATAATGTCTGAGTTTCAGAGAAGGAAATCTAATATACTTATGAGTATGTTATAAGCAGAAGATACAAAACAAGGCAGCAGGTAGAAATCTGGGGCAAAATGTTTAGGCTGCTATTTGCTTTGCCTGCCCAAGAAGCAAGTAAACACTGTCAGGATTGCAAGGTGTTCCTTACGTTTGCTTTTGTAAGTAGACGTTGTTAGAATGAAAAAAAAAAAAAGAGGATTCTTAGCAAAGAATAAGCCAAGATTTGTTTCAAGGTGAACAAGTAGTGGGATTAAGCTGCAGTAACTAAGTTGGGAAAAGGAAAAGTATTGTGATATAAATATTACCAAATCCTTGACTGGTTATTTCTGAGCATGCACTGCCCATAGTAGATCATATTTAGCTAGGGAATCCCTGGGTTTCTTTCAGCTTGGCACAAAATAGAAATCCAATATTCAAAAAATCCATCAATCTATTAGTCATCTGTTCCACTCTACAACTATTTAAAGGCTAGCTTGAAAAGTTTCTACATGCTTCAAAATACTATAAAAAGATGGAAGATGTAGGTGATTTAAGGTCCTTTTGAATTCTGAAAATAATTTTTTGGATATATCATGTGTCAGTAAGTCAAAAGTTGATAATCTTATGGGTAATGGACAATGACTACATTTATTATAAATATCTGTGAATGTGAGGAGGACTTTCTGAGAAACTCAAGTCTAGAGGACTTCTCTATTTCATAAAGAATCTCTCCAGTGTTCTCTGTTCTTTGGTGAGGATGATCAAGTTTGCCTATGCAAGTATTTTTGGGAAGGAGTGCCAGAATTTTGTTTGACAGTTGTTAGATTAATAATTTTTAGTTCTATTGTATACTTTCCTGCAAAATTAAATGCTAATTGAAGGACAGCCTCATAGTAGAAAGTAAGTAAAGGGCTTCTGGAATCTCTCTGTATTTCTCACAACTTATGTGAATCTACAATTATTTCAAAATTAAAGTTATAAAAAAATGCACTGATTTGCTACCCAAAGAAACTAGCACCTGAAAATTACATCAATAGAAGGAAACATAAACTATATTTCCCATTCATATAATTTATATATTTTGTAAATTTAAAGATATATTCTTATAGTAAAATTCTAACCACATGAGTTTTAATGTCTCTCAAAAGATGAATATACCAGGTGGTACTGCAAATCTATTTAAGGGCTTTTGGACAGTTTAATTCAAACACATACAAAGACCTATGAGAAGAAGGGCACACTCTTAGGAAATGGAAGTACGAAGTCAAGTTGTGGCTCTCCTCTTGCAAAGCCTATGTTTTATTGGGAACATTAGGACATACAGAGAGAATTCTAGTAAAACATATCAAGTGATAGTAAGTGCTAAGATGGAAGACAAGGGAGTCAAAGATAGAGCTAGTTCATGTTGGCTGAGTTTCCAAGGCAGACTATTAGAAATGATACCTGAACTGAGTTTTGTAGGCTGAGTAAGAAGCATCCAAGGGAAAGGTGAGAAGACATGAGTGAAACCATGAAGGTGAAACAGTATGGTGTTTGCAGAAAAAATTATAAGTTTGGTTTACCAATTAGAGTAACAGAAACAAGGCAGGATGTAGTAAGAAGTGAGGTTGGGGAGTTAAGTCAGACTCAAGTTACCAACCCTCTTGTATAGATTGTAAAGATTTAGGCACATCAGAAGTATTTTATCTAAAAATACATAACTTTTCAAAGAACATATTAGAAAAAGCCAATGTTTAGCAGATTTCTTTAATTAAATATTAGCAATCTGTAAAGTTTATTTTGAATCATATTTGAAGTCCTAAATAATAAAGTTTGATAATCAATATTATAAAAGTAATTATGACATAAATAAGCTCCTATTAATGGACAATTTCTACCTAATGATGCATCATCACCACAGTAACGGAGGGGATTTTGCAAAATGATGAACTCCAAATGGAAATAACTTAGAAGTCACAATTTTCATGTAAATCATCTCTTAACTTACAGATATGACTTATGTTTTGATGAATCATTGAGTAGTTAATTTGAGGAGGTGGCCATTCACAAGTATCTTTCCTAGTTTATGGTTCTCATCCTTCTCCAAAAGAGAAACATCTGACCCATTTTCTACCCAGCAATTATGTTGGACCAAGACCACTTCTCTTTTGG